CTGAATAAATACTAACTATTATCCTTGTGTCCTAATTCTCAGCTCCTGGCATTCTATTTCTCCTCTTCCCATCTTGAAAAATTCACTGTCTTGAATAGCTTTGACTAATACTGCAATTAAATGTATTTCTGAAGTTGGTGTTGCAGGACTAAAACTTTCATACTCTTCTTTAGTCATAAAATGACTATTTGTATATTTCACCAATATCTAAGAAATAAGTAACCTGCTGAAAACTGATTTCATCTTCATACTTTTTCTTAAAATATTCATTTCCCTTGGCTTCTGCAGTATGATACTTTTCAGATTTTTCTTCTCTGGCCATCTCTTCTTAGACTCTACTGCCAGCTCATCCTCCTATAGCCAGACTCTGAATGTTAGTGCTCTAAAGGAAAAGCTAAGTATTTTCTTCATTTCTTATACTATAGTCTCTCCCTTGGTGGATCTCATGCTTCCTCAAGGCTAAAGCTGCAATCTATAAATAGGTAAGTGACTTCCATATTACCTCTGGTGCACACCTCTCCTCAGTTCTAGACCACTATAGCCAGCTGTCATCACCATGTGATGACAAGGCAAGTTAAACTCAATAGATCCAAAACTAGATCCATGGTCTTCCTGATTTTATGATCCAAACTGGATTCAGGATTCAGGATCAACAAACCTAGTTCTTCTCCAGTATTTGGTTGTTAGTGCATAGATGTCACCACCATCCAACCAAGTTGCATAACACAGAATTCTACAAGTCCTTTCCTTCTTCCCCTTCAAATCTCATCTATTCCATTATATGGATCTTGTTGCATGAATTTCAATCTATTTTTTTACACTAATACCAAAATAATATCCTTTGCTAGTTTTATTCCCCTACTATCCATGTTATCACTATGATAGCAAGGTCTCCATAAAATGAAATTCCTGATTTCCCCACCTTTCCTGTTTATAACTTTGACTCACATCTCAACAATCCAATTTCTTATTCCTATATAGTAAATATTCTATCTACTCCAGCCACAAAAATCTACTTTACAATATCTGCATATGACTTTTTCTCTCCCATCCCTCTTCATTGACCAAGCCATGCCTTTTTCTCTCTCAAAACTCCTCTTTGGCCTGGCCGGGGGCAGTGTGACTTAGTGGTTGAACATCAACCCATGAACCAGGAGGTCCCTGTTTCAATTCCTGGTCAGGGCACATGCGTGGATGTTGAGCCTGGTCCCCAGTGGGGGGTGTGCAGGAGGCAGCTGATCAATGATTCTCTCTCATCATTTAGTTTCTATCTCTCTCTCTCCCTTCTTCTCTCTGAAATCAATTTTTTTAAAAAAACATATATTTAAAAAAATTCCTCTTAGAATCCTTCACTGATTAATTCAACACAATACCACTCTTTAGTAGGGAAAAAATAAAGTTTCAGATTCAAAGCCAATAATCTATCTTTGACAGTGACTGACACAGCATATTACAGTTTCCCCTTCCAGACATGGTCCTTAAAAATCTATTATTATCCAAATACACGAATGATTTCCTTTAATCATACATTAAGCACTGAATCTATAAATATATACTGAATGTATAAATTTATGTTTTTTATGAATTCATATATTTTCAGCCTTTTCTGTTTCATAAGTTTATGAATTTCACAAGTTTAACGTCGACCATATAAAACTAAGCTTTCTTTATTTGTTCTGAATTTCCTAAGCATCAAGGTAATCTTCTCACTTTCGCATTTTCTGATTTGGTGAACAAGTTGATACGTTTTCTCACCCATATCATTTGTGATTTAAAAGGAATACAAAAATAAATACAGCATGAACCACGCCCTTATAGTCTGCTTAAAGGGTGAGATCCAGCTGTATCCATATTTGTATTCCTAATGTCCATAACAATGTCTTACAGAGAAGGTGCTCAATACATGTTCAACAGAATTAAAGGAATTCTGCTTAGGACTGATGTAATGCTTGTGAATGCCAAAAAGAAAACAGAACTTCTCAACTAGAACTTCTACTTCCTTTCCAGAAAAATTATATTTGGGTATCGTAACTATAGATTCTTTTTATAGATGATCTACTGATGCCCTGCTCAGTACAGGTGAGGAGACCATAATGTAGTATCTTGGTGCTTTAAATGAAACAAAGTGCATTGTGAATGGGATCACTGAATCACTGCCAGTGAAAAAAGCATGGAAACTCAGAGGGTTGCCAAAGACTGGAAAAGAGCAAATAAACGTAGATCGGTCTCTCTCTCTCTCTCTCTCTCTCTCTCTCTCTCTCTCCTCTCTCTATCTCTAATGGAAAGAACTGCCAACAACAATCCAAGTACACTTGACATCAATCTTTTTCTAAATTCAGATTATTTACTTAAAAAATAGCTTCCAATTGCTTAGCAAAGAAAGTGGTAAGCATTTGTGGAACCAACCTGAATTATACTAATCTAATCTCCTTTCATTTTTTAAGAGTGTTTATAAATAGATCATACATCAAAAAGCAGTAAAAATGGTGTGTTGGTCAGATTTCAACAAGGTGTATGACCAGGTTCTTATTATACCCATACAGATAAACATAAGATGGCTAACATTACAACTATGTAGCTAGGCAATTATTTGAATGAACATAACAAGTGCTCATTAATGAACTGCTCTCCACCTGAAGGGCAGGTCCACTGACAAGCCTCAGGACTCAATCTGTGGCCTTCTCCTGTTCAACAATTTTATCAATAACTTGAATGAGTATGTAGAAGATTACTATACTACTGTTGGCATCCAATGTGCAGTTGACATGAAACCAGGGGGCTCATAAAAGATATTATGAAAAGAGCCAGGATCTACAAACACAATGATAAGCCAGAAAAATGGGCTCACTCTAATAAAATGAAATCTAATAGGGAAAAACACCTAAGGGGTCAATTAATACCTGTGTCCAAACACATACATACAACTGTGAAATGAGCAAGTGCTGTGATTTAATCACCACATATGTAAAACAAACAAATAAACAATGGTTTAGTTGATCCCAAGTTTTAGTTCAATCTGGCGGCAGCAAGCTCAATAGGATGTGGACATCAGAAAAGCTAATGTGATGCATGTTGCAGCAGCAATAGTATCTCAAGCATGGGAGACAGGAGTCCTGCTCACCTCTGGATTGATCAGACCACAGCTGAGGATCTTAACCTTATTGGCACATAGTCAGAACAGAACAATCAGGATGCTTATGAGCCTGGACACTACCCCATAAAAGGAAAGACAGAAGGAAACAGAGATTTATACACAGGACAAAATGATGCCTTCAAAGAAAATGATGGCTACCTTCATTCAGTCATTCAACAAACATGAATTTCAAACCGATTTCCGTACAGACATTATGACAGTGGCTTGGGATACAGAGAGAATATAGTCCATGCCAGTGAGAAATTCGTGTGTGTATCTAAAGAGCTGAAACAGCCATGCTCTAAAAAAGGATTGGATTGCTCTATATGATTTCGTAAGGTAGAAACAGGAGCAATGGAAAGAAGTTAGAAAGTAACCAACTTCAGCTCCATATAAGGAAGAGTAGTATTCTAAGAGTCACAGCTCTCTAATGAAGGGAGCAGCCGCCTGAGAAGACTGCAAGCTTCTGATCACTAATGGTGCACTTAGAAGGGAAAACGCTGGAATAAGACAAGCACTGAACTGGACCGTCTTTGACGTTTCCCACATTCTGCACTACCATTCCACACTTCCCCGGGGAAAGGGACTCTCGCCAGATTCATCCTACTTGTGTACGTCAGCATCACTGATTTCCTACAGTTGCTACTCCAACTTTGTACCCTGTCCCACACTAAAGCGATGTTTTATAATTGGGAATGGATCTGAGAGCGATAGGAATAATGAGATATAGGAAGAAACGGACCACCCATCAGAACACGGAACACAAAAAATCAATACTGTTCAATAAATGTAAGACAGTATTATTGTAAAATAAATGTAAGAAGTATCTGTCCTTTAAGTCACAAACTCATTTAAAAATATTCCATTTTGTTCAATTAATGTAATAAGGATTTATTATCTACTGCATCTCTTGTTGGGAGCCATTTTTTTTTCTAACCAACAAGGAAAAATTTTTAACTTAAGATCACTTCAAGAATTTGGGTCTTAAATAAGTATTCCAAAACCCTCTATTATAAGGTTATGTAGAAACTGTTTGCAATATATTTCTAATAAGAAATGATTCATCGGGGGTAGCAGAACAAATACCACGAACTAATCAAATTGTGAAATTCTGATTAAATGACTGCTTAAGTTTAATCCATTTTCAAAACCCCATTCAGGATAAACATAGAGAAAAGGCCTAGATCCTTTAGTCCTGGCTTTTACAAACTGGTAAGATTATTTAAGATTACTTTCGTTCATTTTACTTTGTAATTTTAAGTCTCATACATTGGCTCTATATGCTGCAGCTGGCTATTTAAGGAGTTCCCCTTCCCAAACTGTTAATATTAACTTCTTGGAAGCAGTCCCTCACTGTAGCGCTTTCTCAGCTGGATGCAATAAATGCGCTACCATTCGATTCCCAGAGGCTCTTTCTTTTAACGAACTACCCGGAAAGACAAAAGTGAGAGAGAAAGAGGCATCTTCAACCACTAGTCTTGAAAAAAAGCCTTCCTCTTTCTCCGGTTTCCATCAACTCCGAAGGCTCTCAACCATTTCTCAACACACTCCCTGGTCGTTTCGGTTTAAAAAAAGAAAAAAAAATAGCTTGCAGTTTTCCCGGGACGGGGAGATCCCCTTTTGCAGAAGTGGCTAAAGCGAGGCTCCCCACGGGATTTCAGCTCGTTGCCACGGCAGCGCCAACCCGAGCCGCCCAGCGCAAGGGCAGCAGCCGCGCGCCCGGAGCCCGGAGCCCGGGGCGGCCCCAGCCTGCGGCAGAGCCGCCGGCCAAGCCCAGACCCCCGCGGCCCCGGCCCCAGCCCCGACCCCGGACGGCCCCGCGGACGCCAGGACCGCGGCGCGAGGCGGGCAGACGCGCCGGACTTACAGTGACACCATCCTAGGTGACAGCACCAGTGCAGCTTGAAGCACTTGCCGTGGCTGTGCGTGGCACAGATGGAGAGCCCGTCGCACGGCTGGAAGTCGGGTCTGCGGGCGGCGCAACTCCGCGCCAGGGCCTGAGCCTCGTCCACTTTCTCGCTCTTCCAACCCCGCTCGGGCGCCGCCGTCGCCGCATTCATTTCCTCGCCCTCCGCGGAGCCGAGACCGAGAGCCCGGGAGCAGCGGCGTCTGGGCGGACAGGGCGCCGAGTCGGCTGCAGCGCGGGAGGGCGCGGCGCGGGCCGGGAATCACGCCAGCGCGCGGCGGCGGCGGGAGCGCGGCGGTCCCAGCTCGCCGAGGAGCCGCCCCGGGCTCTGCGACCGGGGGCTGGGCCTGCCGCCGCCTCCCTCCCGCCGCCCTCCGCCGCGGCGCGCCCCACGCGCACGCGCGCACACACAGGCGCCGGCCGGGGGGGAGGGCGGGGGGGACACGCCGCGCGTCCCTCCGCAAGACCGGCCTCCTCACTCACACCCCGCGCGGGGGCGCGGGCGTCGGCGCGCCCTCCAGTCGCAGCGAGTCCCCGCCACACACCCACTCCTTCCTCGGAGACCGACCCGACCGATGGAGGACCGTTATGAATACACACACGCCTTGGCGGCTTGGTTTCCACACGCACAGCAGTTTACACGCACACTTCCCACGCACACTTCCCTTGGATCTGGGTCATCTCGAGGACTGACACCCACCCTCAGAGTCTGGGTCAGGAGGGCCGCGCGCACCGAGGACACGCCCATCCGTGCTGCTCAGTGGGCTGATCCCTGCGCATCTGCCAGCGAGGTTCTCTCGTGCACACACAGCCTCTCCCCACGCGCGCCTCGCATTTCCCACGTACACACCTCCCAGGGTGTCTGAGCACAGCCCCTCGGAGGAGCGCGCACCTTCCCACACCCACGCACTCCCCGAGGACCTGCCTCCGGCCCTGTGCACGGCCCCTCCTGCCCAGAAAGCCGCCAGTCCCCGCCCCCACGCGGGAAACCCCAGCCCCGCACCAGCGCCTGGCACCCGCCTGCAATAACCCGGGTCCACCCGCCTAGGGCTGTAGTCCAGGCCTTGCTGAGCGGAAAGTAACCAAGCTGGATGCCTGTGATGCTGTGGAGTGTGTGTATGTGTTGCATGTGTGGCGCACAGGACTGGAATGTAAAATGTGTATGTCATTTGGTGTGGATGTGATGTGTGTGGATGTATGATTTTTGCATGGAGTTTTTGTGGCGGGCATGTGCGTAGTTGGATGGGTTGTTACATGAATACATGGTACGTGCGGTGTGGGTGTGGGTATGTGTGTGTAGTGTGTGTGGTGCATGTGACTGTTATGTGGAGTGTGTGTGATGAGGTGTGTGTATACATGTGTTTGTAGCATGGATGTATATGACCAATGTGGAGTGAGTGGTGTGTATGTGTGTGTAGTAGAGTGTATGTGGTGTGTGTGGTATGTGCATAGTTGCATATGTGTGTATTCGTGTGTACATGGTGTGTGGGTAGATATGGTGTGTGGTATGTGTGTGGCATATCGGGTGCATGCCTGGTGTATGGGGTGGAGTTTGGTGTGTGTGGTACATGTGGGTGTTGGCACACAAACGGGACTTGTGTTTGCCTTGGGCTCTGTGTGTGCCTTTTTGCGTATTAAGGCCCGCCCTCGCAGCGGGTGTGACCGGCTGCATGGTGGCTGCAGCTCCCCCGTACAATCAGCTTGCCTTCTTCCCTCCTGGGGACAGGCTGCTCCAAATAGATTTTCTATGCCAGTCTGGCCTGTGAGAACCCACCCGGGGCTGGATTCAGTGAAGAGAAAACAAACCATTTGCTCCCGGGGAGCACAGCTGGGAATTAGTGTTTCCCTGCAACAAAGCCAAACTCAGCCTGAACACAAAAGGGGGGAACCTCTCATTCGCCAAACCTTTTTCAAAGCAGAGGAAAGTGCCTATAATTGCCAAGGTTCAGGGAACAACAACAACAACGCTTTTAGCACAAACGCTGTGTGAGAACATGTTTGTGCCCAGGTTCACTTTCCCCATTACTTTATTCTTTTCCTACTTTACACTGACAAGGAGACTTATCATGGTTTCGAAATAACCAAATTCATCTTTAAGCACTGGAAATCCTTGCCTCTATAAGCAATCTTTCATAATTTCCCCTTTTATTTAACCTTGGCTTAAGAGGGGAAATATAATTTGCATATATCTGACTCTAGTGAAGTCTTTATTAGGGGTTGGAGAAAGACTCAATTTGATGGCAAAATTATTTTCGAGAAAGAGCTGAATCAAAATTTCAAAATATGGTTCCCCCATTAGCCTAACATTGAAACAGTTATAAACATGAAGCATCATCTCTTCAACATCAGTGCCAGGTGCCCCCTCCTGAAAATATTCCTAAAATCTTGTCCCTGACTCATAAAATCTATCCATCCCTGCTGTTAATTTCACAGTCTGACCCACCTCAAAATAACATGAGTCAAAGGAAAACGTAATCAAAGAAATCCATAATACTTTATTGCTGTAGCAAGCTGACCCAGAATTTTTCAAAGAGGGATTCCCATCTCTACTACTTTATTTTTTGCCTTCCTGAACTCATAAACTCATTCTAATTCTGTCCGTCCTATATAATAAAAGGCCAGGGATCATAAGTGTAACAACTAGAACGACCCCTCGACCAGTCCAGTCGGTGCATTGACCACCTCTCGTTCCCCCCCCCCCCCCCGGCCCTTGAGCCATGCTCACAATGCAGCAGGGTGGCTTGCAGCTCCAGGGAGCAGGTGGGTGGGTGGGGCGGCTCACAGCTCTTGGTGGCAGGCAGGTGGGGAGGCTCATGGCTCGCGGTGGCAGGCCGTGGGCAGGGCGGCAAGTGGTGGCAAGCAGCGGCGAGCTATGCTCGCACAATTTCGTGCACTGGGCCTCTAGTATTATATAATGCCATATAACAGAATTCTTTCAGTATTCCAGTAACTAATATTTGAACAGGATCCTTTCACTGGCTCTTACTCTCAGGTGAACCACCTTATACGATTCTACTATATAGAAAACCATATATGATACCATCTCAGCTAGTGAAAAATGATCATGAAAAATAATGCAATATAGCACCTTAGCCAATAGGCAAGGGAAATTACCCAAATACTCTATTTTATGTTAGCCATGTGATTTGAATCTGAGATGCCTTTACATTTGCTGTAATATAAAACTCATTCCATCCCCTTGCCCAAAAGATGTCACCAACTTCTACTGCAGCGGTTCTCAACCTGTGGGTCACGACCCCTTTGGGGGTCAAACGACCCTTTCACAGGAGTCACCTAAGACCATCGTAAAACACATATATAATTACATATTGTTTTTGTGATTAATCACTATGCTTTAATTATGTTCAATTTGTAACAATGAAATTGGGGGTCACCACAACATGAGGAACTGTATTAAGGGGTCTCAGCATTAGGAAGGTTGAGAATCACTGCTCTACTGTCTGTAGTGCAGCAGGAAGAGGTAATTGTGATGTGACCTCAAACATGAACACACACAACCTTCAGGAGATGTGGTCGGGATACAAGTTTTTAAATTTTTAAGCACATACAAAACTAAGGAGACTAGTATAATAACCCCTCAGGTACCCACCACTTGGTTTCAATAAACATGAACTCATTTGGAAAATCTTGTTTCATTTATAGCTCCACATACTCCGGACCCCATCCTGCCACTGGATTATTTTGAAGCAAATCCCAGACACCATCCATAAATATTTTAGCATTTACCTCTAAAGGAACTTTTAAAAACCATAACCCGAAATATTATTGTCACATAATAGGATACAATTTGATCATAAATATGAACTTGTCCCATAGCTGCTGACTACCTCTCCAGTTTCCCTTTAATGATCTCATTTCTTCTGTCTGGAATTTTCCCCTTTCACCTCTTTCTCACCTGCCTATCTCCTCAAAGTACAACTTGTGACATTCAGAGTTTTTATTTATGACTACTATCATGATGGACCCATCTCCGCCTGTGGCCCTTCACTGTGCCAAATATAGGCAATGCTGGCAATTAGGGAAACAATCCATGGGAAGCAGCCTAGAACACCTTCTCTTGACCCTGAGATGGAGCCTGTCTGGAGGTGGAAAAGTAACCTTGGAAACACTTCATGGATTTGAAGAAGGCCTGCCGCCACCTTTGCCACATTAAAGGGACAGAATTGCCTCCTCTGGCTTATATTTCAATGAAAAGTAAATTAAAGTGGTATAAAAAAAAACCCAAAAAGTTCAACTTCCTCAAAAAGCTTTCTTCGATCAACCCAGACTATTATTGTATTTTTCCGTGTATAAGATGCTATTTTTTTTTCTAAAATCGTTAGACTGAAAATTGAGGGGCGTCTTATACATGTAAGTCAGCCGAGAAGGGAGCTGCGCAGGTTCGTAGCTGCCCATGCCTTGTCAAACAGGCTTCCTCCAATCACAAGCCTTATTGTTACTGACATCAGCTGATGACATCATTGGAGGTGGAGGTGGAGGTGGAGAGTGCGCAGATGCAACAGGGACTGGAACATCTGTGTCCATAAAGATGTCAAAAAATAAAAAGATAAATACCAGTAAGTGATTGTCTTACTCTGCAAAATTCAGACTGAATGTAATCAGCTATGCAAAAGAGCATGGAAATAGAGCTGCAGAGAGACAATTTGGACCTCCTCCCACTGAGTGTATGATCAGACAGTGGAGAAAACAGGAAGAACAACTTCTTAAGATGCCAAAAACGAAGAAGGCCTTAAGAGGAAAACCAGCAAAATGTTTAAAATATTGATTTCTTAATTTTGGGTTGGAAAAGTGGGGGGGCATATTATATAGGGGGGTGTCTTATACATGGAAAAATATGGTATATACACTCACCCTTCGTATCACTTATAACTTTAAATGAATCATTCCAGAAGGAATTATTGAGTTAATGTCTTTTCCCATATCCTTTCCCCTGCCACAAACTGTAAGCTCTTGAGGGCAGGAACCTGGTCTCTGTCTTATTCATCATCTGTTCCCATTATTTATCACAGAGAATAAATAATTGTGGAAGTAGTGAAAAGTACTCCATCTCAAACTTCACAGGCTGGAAAAAAAGTTCATCTGTGGTAAATTGTTTGCAAACATAGGAGAATACTTTCTATAATTACCCTTCCTGTAACCACACCCTTACATAGTTTCCTTCCACACTGACTCTGAGTTGGCTATGTGTATTAGTTGCATTGTTTAACAAACCACTCCCAAATTAAAACAATGCA